GGTGATTATTGAAAATTCTCCACGCTGATTGGTTGCCGTTGAGGTCATTATAGCGAGATAATCACCTACGCGATTTTCGAAATGGCGGCCGAAGCCGTTTTGTCAATTAAATGACGAAGATTTGCGTTTTTTGGGAGTTTTTTCTCCAAATAATCACCTGCAATTATACTAAAACAATTATTCACCTCAGGCTCGGTGATTATCGTGAATAAAAACCTCGACTTCGTCTCAGTTTTTATTCACCGATAATCACCTCGCCTTCGGCGAATAATTGTGAAATAATAACATGCTATATATAATAATAATAATAATAATAATAGGCATGCAGTCTCCGACAACACCATCCTATCGGAGACTGCCCATTATTATTATTATTATTATTATGGCATGTTATTATTTTTTGTTTTAGATTCCGATTTTAGGTTGATCAAACTTTGATATTGAACATTACTTTACATGTAAAATTTTATATAATATTATAACTAGGTCGGTCAAGGTGACAAGTCGTACCAAGGGGTACCAGCACTTTGAGAACTTGTAGCAAGGGGTACCAGCATATTGGCAACTTGTACCATGTTGTACCAACTTGTATAAAGTTCGGGTCAATGCATGCGTGCCTGTTACGAAAGGCAATACAAAATGATATCTGCATCCGCATGAACGTTCAGTGTTGAGGCTAACTTCTGGAGAACGTGACTTCGTGAAAGTGCGAGCGAAGATAATCTACTGTAAGTAAACCTGTAATTTGTTAAATTTGTTTATTTTGTACTAATATATAGCTATCCAAACTGTATATCGTCATTGTGAATTTTTTTGTGGTTTTAGTTTGTACGTGATTTTGTTGGGCGAAACGAGGGAGGCAATCCCAAACATTCCATTCCGTATATATTTCGCGGCATTGGCCAAGTCTAGACTGAAGCCTACATTTTTCCTGTCTGGAAGAAAATGTTTTGGTTTTGACACCACCCGAGTGGCCGGTTGGCTTTATTATTTCTAAAGTCACAAGGAAAATATACATTGTATATAGGTTTCTTGGGTATGTCAGTCACATTATTTGTGAATTGTCAAACTGTGGGGTATATCACAGCTTTTCCTTTCGACATGCGCCAGTTTAAGATATACATGCATCTGCCGTGTTCTTCATATCTAGCGCACGCATACACTAGTTGTGCTCCTTATTCTTATTCTTATTACTTTAATTCTATCGATCAGTGAAGCAATAAACCCATGATAATTCCATCAACGTTGGGAAATGTTTCGCCCCTTCCATCCGTGGCCATGGCCTATAAGCTAGCCTCAAATCAATATTGGTGGCCCTATATTTTATAGATCGATGACATCTTTAGTTCAATCATGCAATAGTTAATACTCGAGCTGTGCGGTGAGTCAAAAGATTCCGTCGGTCCTGTAGTTTTTTAGCACCAAAAGTTGCCCGCTACGGGCCGATTGATGCGCAAAACAACCGGCAGTTTCGATTCCCGCGTGTCGCTGCTTCGTGTCCAAAAACTAATAACAAAATGTCTGTCTGACAGACAAAAATATTTCTTTTTTGATAAATTTTATTTCAGATAATTTTTATTTCTCCAATCTATTCCATATAATATAATCAATGGAAATTTTTATGTTGTATAACAATTTATTGAGCAAATGCTTTGAGTTCTTCTTTGAAAATACCTACACCGAACACATATTCCACCCAAAAAATATAGCGCAAAGAGCAGGAAAAAGCGTATATGCTGCAGCGTTGTAAACATCACCAAAAAAGTAATGAGTAAAAATTACAATTACATCTCCGGAAGGGTAGTCCTTACAACTTACTAATTACTTTCGTTAAAAAGTATTGCTGGCCTATAATTACCCCGAATTACTAATTACTTGTTGAAAAGTAATTCTGATTACTTGCAGGTTACCACGAATTACTAATTACTTGTTGAATTTTTAATTAGCACGAATTACTAATTACTTGATGAAAAGCAATTATAATTAGAGGGTCCTGAAGGGGGGGTCCCAATCCCATTTCCCACCTGAAATTTTGGCAAAATCCCAGTCCCAGTTGGATTTTTATTAGAAATCCCAGTCCCAGTTATTGAAATCCCAGTCAATAAAAAACCCTTTATTTATCGGTAGAATAAACAGTTTTAAGACCTTTTAAGCAAGTGACGGACACTTTATGAAACATTAGGGGGGGGGGGCTTGTGCCGAAGGCACGGAAAATTATAAAATGTGAATCCCGGAAATGGCATTTGCAGCATTCTGAGACACACATAATCAGAAAACCCAGAATTCCGGGCGCCAGAGTATGCCTGTTCGCAGGTAGTGCTGTGAATAATATAGTTAACAACAAAAATCATGACCAAAGACACCAAAAACGGATCAAAATTGTATTTTAAAATACTCAAAACACAGAAAAATTGGCAATCGACTCGCATTACCTCAATCCCATTCCCATTTTTGAGGACTTTATTTCCCATTCCCAGTGGCCAAATCCCAGTCCCAGCAACCCAAATCCCATTTTCCCAGTCTAAAAATAGATCAATCCCAGTTCCCATTTGACCCCTTCAGGACCCTCAACATGGGTAATGAGTTATATTGTTATTCTAATGAGTTTCCAAACCATCTATTCTATTAACTATTGTGGGAGTGAACACTCCAGGCCCCTGCTGGACCAAAACGTTGAAAAGTTTAGAGCCCCCCCCCCTTCAGTATATCGAGAACTTTCAGATCCCCCCCCCACTTTAATGCCAGAAAATATTTCGGTGCCCCCCTTAACATCTCCCATCCCCCTCGGCATAATAAATATACTTTTCCTAATATATATAACATCATATTAAACAATTTCTCATCATTTGAAACATTCTCAGAACATGCTATGAAGAAACGATTGAAAAGCTACCTAGTTGAAATGTTTTTGTCCAGCAAATTAATTTGGCCATGTGTTTGAGCATAACTTTTCAAAAATTATTTAGTAATGGCTAAATTACTTACACTGAATCTCTGGTATTAAATCAATGATTTGTGAACTTATTATACATATTTTGCTTGTCCACTGTATTTCAAATTTAGTGCACTCACCATGGCCAACTTCAAATTGGAGTTAATTTGCAAATTTAAATTTGTGTATATTCTATGGTGAACACCAAACATGATTGGCTGATTTGTGGTCATGTGGTGTTGGATAAATGCAGTGTATCCAACCGGGAAACACCTGAAAAATTGTTGCCCGCCACGACCGGCTAGGTACATAAATAAACCAAATAGCGGCACAACTTGCAAGTTTATAACGACGATTTTCCAATTTTGTGTTAAAATGAAGATTGTAAAAGGGAAGAAAAAATACACAACAGGCAACAGGATATGCTACTGAAACCGTTAAGTAGATTCTTTTAAATTTAATTAAACTCGTTTACTAAACTAAGAGTTTTTGAAATGAAATACAATTGTTGTATGAATGTTGCTGATTTTCCTTTCGTCGCTATATAAAGAAACACTTAAAGGTGATGTAAAGTCCGTAATGTAAACAAACGCTTTGTTTACATTTTGAACTCACTGCTACAGTTGTGAAATATGATTATTTATATATATATATATATTATACTGAATTTTTAACACTTTTCTGGTTCGTTATGCTTGTAAATGAATACAGACTAGAGATTCAATTCAAGAAAGTTCGGAAAAGAGCGAAATATTAACAACATTCCAAAGGTTGCTCCCCCACTGATGGAATGTTTTGATGCGCAGAATATATGCGCAGAACGGACTTTGCCGCATCTCTAATGTCTGTTCCTTCAGAAAATAGTTAGTTTTGTTTCCCCTCGTCTCTCGAATCTCAATTTCTCCAACATTGAGAAACAAACTATTTCCCTCAAGAGCAGACATTAAGTGTATACTATTCCACTTCAAAATTCAATAATATATGAAAGAGGATCTTGAAGCTAAGGGGGGGGGGGGGTCCCAATCCCATTTCCCACCTGAAATTTTGGCAAAATCCCAGTCCCAGTTGGATTTTTATTAGAAATCCCCGTCCCAGTTATTGAAATCCCAGTCAATAAAAACCCTTTATTTATCGGTATAATAAACAGTTTTAAGACCTTTTAAGCAAGTGACGGACACTTTATGAAACATTAGGGGGGGGGGGGGCTTCTGCCGAAGGCACGGAAAATTATAAAATGTGAATCCCGGAAATGGCATTTGCAGCATTCTGAGACACACATAATCAGAAAACCCACAATTCCGGGCGCCAGAGTATGCCTGTTCGCAGGTAGTGCTGTGAATAATATAGTTAACAACAAAAATCATGACCAAAGACACCAAAAACGGATCAAAATTGTATTTTAAAATACTCAAAACACAGAAAAATTGGCAATCGACTCGCATTACCTCAATCCCATTCCCATTTTTGAGGACTTCTTTTCCCATTCCCAGTGGCCAAATCCCAGTCCCAGCAACCCAAATCCCATTTTCCCAGTCTAAAAATAGATCAATCCCAGTTCCCATTTGACCCCTTCAGGACCCTCTAATTACTTGCCAGATTAGTTTTAGACCTTGGTAAGACGGCGACAATATACTCAAACATGCACATATATAACTGACCTAAGCAATATACGAACACAAATGGTATAATTCAACTGCAGCTTCTCACTTTAAAAGACTGGGTCTTTAAAAGACTGAGGGACTGGTTTGCCTACTTTTGAACAGGAAAGTGGGTTTACTAGGGGTGCATGGGAATTGCGAATGGGAAAACCCACATACCATTATATATATATATATATATATATATATATATATATATATATATATATATATATATATATATATATATATATATATACAAGTGTTGTATATAGAAAAGGTTTCAATGTGCAACCAAAAGAGACATTTATAACGTAAAATAAAATACAAGCCACTCAAATTTTGCACAAACGTTTTCGCTTTTTTCGCGTCGAAAATATCCGAAACGAAATCGCTCTCCTTAACGTCCGAGCCGACCGACATAAATCAAAATGCAAGCAGACAGAAGAAAAATTCCTGGTCATACCCTTGCAGAATTGAAGAATCTATGGCACGAAGATGTTACGCATGAAGAATCCAAATCCTTAAAAAAATGGGAATCCAAGCAAATTTGGCTCGAGAAGTATGAAACTGAATTTAAACATGAGAGCTTCCTGAAACCCCCAAGGAAGTACAACGAGAGCAAACCAACGGGAGATTTGCGACAACAAGGTCGGCGCGGTATAATCGACAATACGCATTTACAAAGCATAAGTAAACAGCTAAACCATAGGAGAATGAATCCCAAACAATTCCAGAACAACCGTCCCGATGAGAGAAAGTCTGCAAAATTTGCCCACAATCGACCCAGATGCAACGTAACCGCAATTAATAAGGAGAGAATAGGACAAAACCGATTCCAGCACAACAACACACGCAATCATCATTCCTCCTCGTTACTGCATCACCAAATGACATATGCTGAGGTCGCGAGAATTCCTCCAAGATATAATCCACAGCAAGGAAGTACCTATACATCGTTGATGATTACGAAAGAATCCCAAGGAACACTTCTTTTTTAGAACAACATACCATCAAGAGATATCCTCCAGAGAGATCACTCTACCATCCCAGGGAACGACTACGACAACCGCACATGACCAACCACCGTTGACAGAACCAAAAATTATTAACATTTCGTCAAGAGATCTGACGGTAAATGAAATACGGCTACTTAAGCGAGGTTTAAAATTCACTCCAACTCCGTCGGAAATTACGCCTAGCAGAATATTTTAACGATAGAGAGCAGAACATAGACAATTCACTTGCTAAAAACAAATCTAATTTTGTTCCACCAAGATCAGAGGACGAACATCTCACGTTATTTCTTAACGACTTGTCAAAACAACAATCCCAGAAGAAAACTAGGAAATGTAACATATCTACAGCAGAACAGAAAGCGCTTCAAGACCTTAAAAACGACAGCACAATCATAATCAAACAAGCAGATAAAGGGGGAGCAACAGTGGTAATGGACAAATCTTATTATAGAGACAAAATGCTATACCTCCTTTCCGACACAGAGAATTACATACAATTATCGCAAAACGAGGACGAAGCCATTTTACGAAAGATTAAGAGACTTATTAAAAACTTTGGAAACTTAATTACTGAGAACGAGAAAGAGTACATCACAAATTTCCTAATGAAAACATCAAATTTCTATGGATTACCGAAAATACACAAATCAAAGACCATAACAGATGCTGTCACCGACCAAAACAATGATTATATCAAACTGGAACCACCAGCGCACTTAAAGATGAGACCTATAGTAGCTGGACCTATATCGCTTACAAATAGACTAAGCAATTTTGTCGATTTGATTTTAAAACCATTATGCCAACATGTACCAAGTTTTATACGGGTCAGTATGGATTTTCTGAACAAAATACCTACAAATATAAACGAGAAAACGATTTTGGTATCATTCGACGTCATTAGCTTGTATACAAGTATCCCACATGATCTTGGACTCACAGCAATCGAACATTGGTTGGACAAACACCGTGAATCACTGCCACGACCGTTCCCTAAAGAATTTATTTTGGAGGCCATCTCAATTGTCCTAAAGGAGAATACATTTCAATTTGATGACATTAATTATAAACAAATACAAGGAACAGCAATGGGCACTAAAATGGCCCCAACGTAGGCCACATTAACTATGGGTTTCATTGAAACACAACTGTACGAAAGGTTCAAGGAAAAATATGGACAGGACGAAAAAGAAAACTTCGTGACGTACAGAAGCAGAACTCGAGGAACTTCATAAAATGTTAAATTCACTTCATCCAAAAATACAGTTCACGATGGAATATGACAATAAGAAACTACCGTTTTTGGGATAT